TATAACACTACAAGAATAAAGCCTACATTTGCAGAAAATTGTTACGCATCCATTTCTATTTTCTTATTTAGTTTTCGCGTTATTAAACCCCGCGTCATTTATCTACAAAACTTATCTCTATTACATACGCAACTACGCGACACATTCTTTTGTTGTTTTGCCTATTCATCCGCTCAGAAAGACTACAATTTTATACAAATCGAAAATCTTATCTCGTTATTATTAGAACTAAGAAAATTGGAGCACGACTCGAAAACTGGAGTAATCAACGAGTAAATACAAATTCATATACGGTATATTTATTTCACATTATACACAAATATTATTCTTTTTTCAAAAAAAAGTTCTTGACATTAACTATCGCATAGATAGCTAGATTTGTAAACTCAGACAATATTTACATGTCTAAAAGATCTTATAAGACCTTTTTTAGATATATATGTCGAAAAGATGTCGAAAAACGGTCTTTATGACGTCTTTTAGATATGCGTGTTGTTGGGAAGATAATTTGATTAATCGAAAAAGCAGATTATTTTTCACTTATAGCGAATTCGATTGGACGCACCAGTGTGCATTAGTGCACATTAAAGCAGTCATACACAAAATAACGTAGAGATATATTTATACATAAATAGAGAAAATCGATTAAATCCTGAAATACTCAATACATTTTATTGTACTATTAGATAAAATATGTATTTTATAATTCGAAATATTTGTATCTCGATAATTCACTTTTATACTCAAATTAAATCGGTGTGAATGACTTTAATATGCACTAGTGCTTCCAATATAGTGCTTCGCCATTAGAATCGAATATAATAAAAGTCTTCGTGTTTTTCTTATAGAAAAAAGACAGTCTTTTTAATAATTGTTGAATGAAAAAAAACTTGAATGAAAAAAAACTTTTACGTAAGAATTTTATGTTTTTCTGTCTTTTTTTACACGCATGTACAATGCAAGATTACTATCGAAAAGATATGATTTTTCGAATAAATTTAATTTATGAAAATTAATTTTTCTAGAAAAACGCGCGTTTAAGATTTAATAATATTATTTTAACATTGTCTCAAATTCCCAGCAATCATTTAAAAATAAGCTATAATATTTTGTGTTGTAATTTCTGGTTAAAGAAAAAATTATACGAAGTTTCTTTGAAACTTGATTTCAAAGTAGCAATTTTGCGCATTTTAGAAAATGAAAAATAGATATCCAAGTAGAGCACAAGTCATGATATCAGAATGACTCCAAAATGATTACTAAAAGTCACTTTTCAATCATTTATGAATCATTTTAACGTTATTTTGTTGTTATCATAACTGTTCTGCTTAGATTATAGAAATTGTAAATACTTATTAAGGGAATCTATAAGAATTCCTTAATAAAATTCCCAGAAATTCAAAAACTTAATCAAACATAATAATAATAAACAAAAAATTTAATAAAACAAGATGGAAGAGATTTTCAGAAAAATATATCCAGTATTTTATTGACATGATGTGTCACTACGTTTGCCTTAACACTGCGACACCATATCTCTTGATTTGAATGATTTGATTAATTAAAATAAATATTAATTACAATAAATTATCTTTGTAACATCGTAATTATGAAAATGGAGTTACGCATGATATCGATATACAAGTGTCAAAATGTAATCGATCTCTAATGTTCTTTTTATTTCTTTTTTTCATTCTTTTCGGATTTCCTTCCTGCAGGACGCAGAATGTCTACAGAATCCAATCCAAATGTCAATGACTTACGATACTTTAACCTGCCTTTGTGTCCTTATAAGTTGAAAAATCACTTTGAGGAAAAAAAGAAGACTACTTTCCTTTTAGAAGACACAGTCAAGACTAGTCGAGACAAACATCGTTCTGTTGGCATTCAATGAATAACTGCGGCGAGCAGTTAAGTGGAACGCAGCGAAAAAAAGAACGACATTTATGTCGATCGTGTCTCCTAAAAGGAAAACAGCCGAAGTGACAATGATTCTCGACAGCACGACAGCTTTAACCGCTGATGCTGATGGTCTATGGTCCATGTGATTTCGGTTGTGGCGTGCACGTGCGCACTCCCGGCTGGCGGCTCCCGCAATAACTGGCGGCGCGCGATCTTCCAAAATGGCGGCAACCGGGCACTCGTGCCCTTGCATGTCATTGACAGACCAAGTTCGGTCTGCCGCCGACAGTTATCGGACGGCACGGACGGTTGTCGCAAGTGTTTGGTCTCCGTACAGTTTATTTTCTCGCCAGTCGCGACCAACAGATTAACCTCAATTTCCAGTTCCTCAACATTTTTTTTCTTCTATCAGTTGCAGCACTCTTGCGAAAGTACCTTGCGATCATGACCGCGACGTCGGTGACGAGCCTGACGGTGAATACCCGGGTGTACGAGGGCCAAAAGCCGGGTACCTCAGGTCTACGAAAAGCCGTCAAGGTCTTCCAACAAGAGCACTATACAGAGAACTTCGTGCAGGCGACACTGCATGCCCTGGGCGATCAGCTGACCGGCTGCACCCTCGTCGTCGGCGGTGACGGACGATTTTACGTGAGGGAAGCGGTGACGAAAATCATCCGAATCGCTGCGGCAAACGGGGTAAAGCCGTCGTAGAATAGATTGATATAATAGCTGTAATAGCAAATTCATTCATTCACTCGCATTACACTAAATTAATGCACGTTAAAAGCAGCTATATGAAATTAATGAAATTAAATGTAGAAACATAAATATAAATATCCAATAATGATATTATCTTGTTTAATAGAATACACTTGTATTATTTTATTGTCAAAGTTGATTATATTATGCCATTGTATTAGATACTTTATATAAAGCAGTCTTTTGATATGTACTAATCTAGCATAATGTGAGTGAAATTCTAAGAATTAGAAGAAGATAACAAGTAAATTAAATAGAGATTAAAGTTAATCTATATTGGATAAAAAGTTAATCTATATTGGAACATAAAAATAAACATAAAATATACAGAAATAAAAATGAACATAAAATATACAGAAGAATTCATTGATGACATCAATTAACAGAATTAGCAAACTTAAGGTTTGATATTAGAAAGCACAGATTTATGTAATTTTTTTATAATACGTATATTATTTGATGACTTGACATTAATAACTTTAAATTAAAGTAATATAATTGGACAATTGTAAGAGATTATCTGATTATAAAATTATAATGTACAAACATTAGATATATTGTAATTTTTTTTTTAGGTGAGAAAGTTAATAGTTGGACAAAATGGCATTCTCTCGACGCCAGCAGTGTCGACTATAATACGAAAGTATAAAACGCAAGGAGGGATCGTTTTAACTGCGTCGCACAATCCTGGTGGTCCTGATGCCGACTTTGGCATTAAATTTAATTGCGACAATGGCGGCCCGGCTCCAGACAACGTAACGAATAAAATCTATGAGATTACTAAAACGCTCCAAAGTTATAAAATTATTCCTGATATTAGTATAGATATTGACAAAGTGCAGAGTGTCTCTATTGAAGTGGATGGTAGACCATTTATTGTCGATATAATTGATTCTGTGAAGGATTATGTGGAATTTATGAAGGAAATTTTTGATTTTGCGAGTATTAGAAAATTATTACAAGGTAGTGCAGATAAGCCAGCATTTAAAATTCTCATCAATTCAATGAATGGAGGTTAGAGACATTATATAATTCGTATTTAACTTCCGCTTTTATTATCTAGATATTGTAATAGAAGCTGTAATAATTTTTAGTTACGGGACCGTACGTAAAGCAAATATTTAGCACTGAATTAGGCGTTGATGAAACTAGCTTAGTAAATATAAAGCCATTAGAAGATTTCGGTGGTTTACACCCCGATCCAAATTTAACTTATGCCAAAGATTTAGTTAATGCTATAAAGGAAGGACCGTATGACTTTGGTGCGGCTTTTGATGGAGACGGAGACAGAAATATGGCAAGCAAAATTCATCAAAAAGTGATCTAAAAAAATTGACCTCTAGATAAGAAATAGTTTCACTAAATTATACTTACAGATTTTGGGCAAGAAAGCCTTCTTCGTTACTCCTTCCGATTCCTTAGCAGTGTTAGCTGCTAATCTAAAATTAATTCCGTATTTTCAAAAGACTGGTGTTAAAGGATATGCTAGATCAATGCCAACGGCTGCGGCTATCGATAGAGTCGCTGTTAAAAATGGGGTAAAATTCTTCGAAGTTCCTACTGGATGGAAATATTTCGGTATGCAGAATTTTTATCTTACGGATATTACAAATTATCAATTTTATATTTGTTCAATATACTCTTTTTTTTTTTTTTATAGGAAACCTAATGGATGCTGGAAATCTATCATTGTGTGGAGAGGAAAGTTTTGGTACCGGTTCCGATCATATTCGTGAGAAGGATGGAGTATGGGCATGTTTAGCCTGGCTCAATGTGATCGCAGGACTAGGAAAATCTGTGGAAAATATTTTATTGGATCATTGGAAAGTTTATGGAAGAAATTTCTTTACTAGGTACACGCACACACAGTCTATTATTTTTGAATACATATTTAAATATTTTTTAATTCAACGTTAATCCCTACATTTCTGGATGTATTGTTATAGGTATGATTATGAAAACTGCGATTCCGCATGCGCAGATAAAATGATGCAAAGCATTGAAACCCTAGTTGAAAAGCCAGATTTTATCGGTAAACAGTTGCAGTACGAAGGTAAAGAGTATATTGTTAAGCAGGTGGATAATTATTCCTATACGGATTCTGTTGATGGTAGCAAAGCTACGAAACAGGTATGTTCTACAATCATATTACGAATAACCTCGTATTTTCAAACTAGTTATAATATTTTGTACGTGTTAGGGATTACGGATATTGTTTGCGGATGGCTCCCGCATCGTATTCCGTTTATCCGGAACAGGAAGTTCTGGTGCCACTATCCGTATGTATATCGATAGTTATGAGAATGATCCAGTTACTTTCGAAAAAGACGCACAACTTGTTTTAAAACCTTTAATTAATATCGCATTAGAATTAAGCGAACTTTGTCAACATACTGGTCGCAACGCGCCTACTGTGATTACATAAAAGTTCGCTCCTTACGTTCTTGCGTTGCAAAACTGTCTTAGAAACACAATAACAATTTATAAACTCGCGATATTAAAATAATAAAAATAAATAAAAAAGGGGAAATGAGAGTCACGCACAGTTGTCAGTGTACAAATTATCAAATGTAGGTAATTATTAGAAATTCATTTATTTTATTTCAAACGTTTTGGCTCATCTTCAGGTCATTATCAGTGAATATTGTCGACATTTAAGGGGATCTTAAAGCGAAGCTCGAACTCCGATGAAGTCACCAGAAGTCGTGCTGCGCATCGATATGTTTTTATATACACATCAATATTTCATGCACCTATGATACACGCAGTCGAACATTCGTGTCAATTTTCGTATAACAAATTCGTTGCAATAAAGCGTCTAAGTCTAATTCTAAGAACTCGACATTAGTTGTTCGTGTAAACTACGTGTCTGGAAATCATTATTTCGTACGTACAGGTTGCAAAACATTAATTCCAAGCAAATGTTCATGACTTGACAACTGAGATGCCATATTTCACTAAAAAATATATCAATTTTGAAATTTTTGATCGTTCTCGACATAGATTCAACTTCCCAAATACGTATTAATGCATATACTTTAATCTTGAAAAAGAATTTTCGAATCGGTGAAAGAGAAAAAAAGTATTTGTTATACAAAAATTACATGATTTAATCGGCAAAATAGGAAGCTTTAAAATCCCCTTAAACTTTGAAGGATATTTCTAATTTCAACTGAATAATTCGAATACATCACTGGCAGATGAGTGTTTTTCTCGTATTTTAAGTGTAACGCAAGCGAATTTATTATACAATCAGAATAGGAAAATATGGAATTATATGATTCGATACTGTATAATTTAATTAAGATTGTAACTTGGACTTTTCTAGCAACAACATTATAATTTAACAGTATTAAATATTAAATCTCATAGGATCATACATGTGAGAACACATTAATAAGAAATAAATGCTTTTAACAGTCTAGCTAGATCTTAAGTGCTTGTATAATTTTGTGTGAATTTATATATTATATTACTATAGTTTTTTAAATTATTTTTGAAAGACAAACTCTAAACTCTATTGTAGTAATATCACGAATTAAATTGATTAGCAATTTAACAATTCGATGCTCTTAGATTTTAGAACAACGTTAATAATGCTGAATAACATATTAAAATCTGTAAATAATTAATTTTTATTACGAAAAATATTGCCTCGATTGGAAGCCAAACTCAGATCTCTATATAACATTCCTTGCGAGCCTTCTTAAGCCTTCAGACTACCGAAGCTTTAATACATTACAATGTTTGTTGAAGATGAGATTATCTTAATTGTAAATTCTGCAGTATCGAATCATATAATTGATCTACGTTTTCCGAAAATACGGATAATACGAACAATTGCGCATAACTCTTATTTGAACTATCTTATCTCATTCAACTTTATCTCTTATTTATTCAAAGAGATTTATACAATAAAGGTCCGGTTAAGGTATATATTTATTTGGATTGTAAAGATTTGTCCAATTTCAATATTAAACTCACGAAGCAATAGCATAATAATTGTTACTGGCATCAATGAAGAAATTTTCCATTTTTATAAAGTGTTACCGTTTTACGATTCCATCCATATGATGTACATACTGTGCATATTGGACGAGAACTACTCAATATGCATATCCGAGTAGCAATTGTGAGAAAAGTGTTTTAGGATCTATTAGAATCCTTTGCTAGATATTTAAGTAGATGTTATTGCTTGAATTCTCCTTACATCCATTTCAAGTTAAAGAATACGTAAACTTACTTAAATCTTAAAGTTTTGAGTATATGAAGAATGTCGGCATTATCCCTTTTTTGAGCATTAAGAGATACTTTGTAATTGTCTCTAATTATTGGGTAAAAATTTGATTAATAATTTATATATATATTATATATTTATATGAGTTTTAATGAGCATTAAAATTATGCTTATTTATATTATGATATGGATATATCTGACACATGTAGAGAGACTATTTGTGTCGGAAAATCTTTGGAAAAATGTTTCGCGACGTATCATTACATTATATAATGATATTGTTAATATGCAATAATCTATCTACTCGTTGTCGCAGCGTATGATAAAAAAAAAACCCAAAATTTATCGTGTCCAATTAAGAAGGTGTACTCCAAAAAAACTGAGCATAAAAATATCTTGTACTTACCTGTTATTAAAAATTATGTTGTCTGTATATTATTTCGGCGACATGTGTATTTTTTTTACTAATAGCTGACACTAAAGTTGATAAGACGCTTTCGTTATTATCGTACATTTATATTTTGCAGCCATAAAATTGCAATGATATGTAATGAATGTCACCACGTGCATTCCGGTATGTAAAAATATAATTTGTAAAAATTACAATTTTGAATGGACAAAATAGGTACATTGTCAATCTTCCAAAGCTTATGTCTATCACGATTCATATTTGATATTCGTTCTATAATTTCCATTCATTTTCGTCCACACACATGAGTTTTACAGACTTTTACAGTGAAAATACTATCTAACGCTTAATTTAATATTCTAGAAAAATTAATTTGATTGATAATTGAATTGTTAATGATTAAATTAATATACTGTGGAAGAGGAGAATCATTTACTGGTTGATAATTTATCAATATATCAAGGGCATAAAGATTGGATTCAATCAGATAGCATAATATTGGAGGATTAACAAAAGCGTAAATTCGATATTGTCTTGAAGGACCAGTCTTTCCAACGTTCGCCAAACTTATTACTCTGTATTATAGCCAATGCTACGATTCAGGCAGAGATATAAGAGATTTATTTGTCAAATAAAGTACTAGATTTTTTATCTGAAGATGGAATGACTGGCCCTGTGAATGTAGCGTAATGGATAATAATAAGCGGCTTTAATTTATTCTGCTTAACAAAGTAAACATTTTATTAATAAATTAAGTCATCGTAAAGAAAACGTCACTGCGATCCACAATGGATGGTGATGCTGCTTTCAAATTCTAATGATATATTTCAGAATCCTTTTTCAGCGTCAGATTATTATATAAAAATTATATTTGAATCTAATGTTGTAGATTTATTTGTATCGATAAATTTATACTTAAATTGGAGTGAGAAAGATATGAATCTTTTTACACTTCTTGTACAGTAGCATATGTAAAACTGCCTATGTAAAATTTATACTATTTATTGCAACACAAGCATAATACGAAGAGAATATTAAAATTTAAAAAAAACATTGAAGTTTTTGTAGATAGTAGTGTACAACTGTAAGAATCTTTTTTTTCATCAAAGCAGTCATCCATTGGTCTTTCTGAAACTTTCATATGTTCATTGATACCACGCACAAAGCTGGTCATTTCATTATGATTCCCAATTCTCTTCACTATTGCGAACTGCATTTAAATGCATACAGTTTTCCCAAAGCACTTTTTTTACTTATTTTTGTCACGGTTAATCCTTAATCATCTGATCTTTTTACAAAAATATATTTTTTTACTTTGCCTTCTCAAAACAACTCAGTTCTGACATTCAAATATCGAAAGAAGCATGGATGCTTAAATTGGTGAACTCACCAAAACCTGAGAAATAACCAGCAAGATCTTGTCATAATTTCTCAGAATTTGGGCGACCCCAGATATAGCGATGTAGGTTTGCAAATTCGAATTTAGCGCGATACTCAGCGTTTTACAGTCTTCAAATAAGTAATTATTTAAATGAAATGATGCAACGGAAATTTTCATGCATTTTCTGCATTTTGTTGTGCGATATATTTGTTTCAGGGCCATACAAGGACAACATAATTCACTGAGTATCTCGTTAAGATTAATAGAATAGAATACGTTAACGAATTTGTACAAAGAACAGTAGAATGATTCAAAAAAGAAAGAATTGAATTTCTTTCGAGAAGGGACAAAAGTCATAACAAGCACAATTGATGCGAAATTCTATATGTAACAGTATGTCTCCACGTAAGAAAAAATGAACAATAGATATAGTAATTTGAAAGTATGAAACACGTTCGATAGTTATGAGAGGCACTTTACTGTATTTCGCGAGTGGATGTCTCGACTATCAATAATTAATAATTGCACAAATGTATTATTAGTTTTCCTTTTCTTTTCATTTCGTCTTTGCTTCTTTCTTTTGTACGATATTTCACTATGGGCCTTTATATCGGAAATATCACATAAGCTCGTTTTACATTACGGGAAAACGCGCGATCATGATTCACGTTTCATTTCAAATAAATTGAATAAAATTTTCACGAAGCCGGTGTACGGATATGCCGTAGAGATAAATAAGAATACGGAACAAAATAAACGATATCGTTTTTTTTTCCTTCTGTGAATAAATGCAGCGTGTTACGGAGAGATTTCGCAAGGCAATTATGTAAATAGTTGACGGTGAAGGAGAAGGAGAAGAGGAGGAGATACTTAGGGACCTGAGCCGACACACGCCCCCGTTTGATCTATTAATTACGTTCTAGAAAAGTACAAAGGAAAGAAAGAGACAAAAAAAAGAGAAAAAAGTGCATACTCCAAGTACTCTTTAGAACGTAATAAAGATTACTTAACGCGGCGGCGATGTCACAGAGACCAGCACAGAGACTGCCGATTACTATAAAGATATTAACATGTAACATTTGTATCATAATCATAATAAATACTAATTATCATTATAAGTATATGAATGAGTGGCTGCTCGGAATGCACGTGATATGATTCATCGCTGCTCCAATTTTTCTTTATATCGTTCCAGTGCAGTTGCAGTGTCTAATTCTGGCGAAGTATTCCTAACGTTCCTAGTACGATATAAATGTGTTCTCCTTATCAATTAATCGAATCAGTGTCAGCGGATTGTATAAAAATGCACATAACTGTACTTTTGTTTGCAAATTAGCGCTAGATGTGATCATACTAATTTTCAGTACAGCACATATCTTGAATGTGATTTTCATGTTATAAGCAGAGACTGAACATCGAAATAAAAACTAAATAGCAAAATTGAATACATTTGATTGGTTCGATTTTTATCTTAGTTATTATACAAAAAATATTGATATATAGTTGATATTTTTTAAACTGTTGCAATCTCTGGTTATAAATAAAAATCGGTCTCACAAAATCAATCTCATCTGCGCTAAACCTTAAGTGGTAAAAATCTTCATATTTACGATTATGTCAATGCATTCTTCGTGTCCTTATGTTTAAGTGATTATGTTCAAACGACATATACAATCTCAAAGTAGAGATAATTAATTCGACTTTTAATAAATTTATCTCATACAAGGAATCTCTATGCGTATTTTATTATTTTATTTTTCATATTTGTATTTGTATTTTATGAGAATTCAGATAATATAATATTACAAAGAAAAAACAACTTTTTATTCTATTGTATTATTATAGTTTTATATTATTACTACTATAAAAAAAGACTTTTACGAACAACGATAGTTATTGTGGAGTTTATTAAAAGCAATGTTCAAAATATATGTTTTATATATAAACAAAAAATAAGATGTAGATTACTTTCTTCATTAACAGTTTTTTTTTTATATACATTGATAGTTTTTTTATATACATTGTTGCATATCAACAGTCTTTTTGTAAAAAAAAAACAAGAAAATTCAGTTGATCACACTATATCAAAATCATCCCTCTGTAAAACAAAAATTTATATATGTATTTATATATGTATTACATATAATTACGAAAATATAATTTAACAGCAATAATGTATAATAAGAGATGCTGAAAGAATTCTCACCTCGTTATTGTATTCCAATACGTGTTTCTTAATAGCAGATGTGTCTACCCATGTTACGAAGTCCTCTAAATTTCTGTAGTAAAACATACAACTGATATATTGTTTTATTTGTTTCTTCATTTGTGCAGTGAACAGACAAAATATGTTACCTTGTTACCAAAAACGCTGGGTCTTTTACAACTTCTACTCCGACTCGGACATGACCCTGTTCTATCAATTTTGTCGCCATGGATATTGTCTGACTCATCTTATTGCGCACCATAATGACCGGGAGTCTTCGTCTGCAGAAGCAACTAGCAGTTACTTTTTGTGTCTGCGACAAGTCCCATTTGGTGGAAATCAGGCCCATCATATATAGCTTCTCCAACAATACGGCACTTTGCTCAATACGAAAGGGATGGTCAGGCTCGACTTCCTTAATCTTCCTACCTAACTCTCGTATATCTCGTGATAGTTTGTTGTATCTACAATTCATTGATATCCTTTATAAAGATAAATAGTTTCAGCACTCTTCGCACTTATCTTAAAAATCTCGCTTTAAAAAGCGAAAATAAAAATAAGAGCATGAAGTGTTAAAGTTCATTATTTTTACATTTATTTCACATTATACAGTCCTAATAAATCGTCTATTATTGTTTATTATGTTAATGTATACTGCCTGAAAAATGTGTATATTTCTACATGTTTGATTATTACAAAGAATATTACTAGAGCCTCTGTGATCTAAAAGCTTAGAATGCTCACACGAAATGCTAGAAATTCAAGTTCGATTTTCGACCGAGGTAATATTTTTTGTAATAAATTTATTTACAAATTTTCAGTACATTAAGGTCTTCTTAAAATTATGCCAATTAGGTAAAATTATTAAATTACAATTTAATTTGTGATACTACTATAATAATTCAGTTGCGTTTCTAACTCCAAAAAAGCAATTCAATATGCAACTTGAAAGATTATAAATGTATTTTATATAAATTCACATGAAATGATATTTAAATTTTAAAATACTCAAGATCTAGCTTTGACCAATATAAAGGTATAATATTGGAACGCTTTCAAGCTAATATGATTCTGAAATTTAATCAAATTCCATTGCTGCAAACGAGATAATCAGATTTTTGCACTTCTTTGCGATATCTTGTTTTACGTATAAAGTCAGTATTAAAGTTCACTTGCATTATAAAATGAAATATATGGAGGCCCAATTCGCTTTACATTGTAACAAATTCAGACCTTGTTAATTCCGTTTGAGACAGTTCTGCTGATTCCATGTCATACGCTTCAAATATGACTTCTTGCTCTTTTTGCTCCTCTGATGGAGCTTTTGGATGAACTGCAGAACGCAATCGTGCCGGAATTATGGTTGGCACATCGGCATAATCAATTTTTTCGCGAATATTGTAACGAAAACCACGGGTACGTGGTTGCGTTTGACAAAAATAACAAGAATCAACAGAGTGTTCACTTTGCGGTAACCAAATTACTGGCGAAACATATTTTATCCGATATTTCTTTCGTTTATTTTCATCATATTTCCATGCGACCATAGCACGGTAACAGTAATAGCACACAATCTCTGGCGCATACCACAAATTTGGCACATAAAGCATAACAAAATAACCTTCAAAACCTTCCACAAAACTTTTCGATATCGAGCGTGAATATTTTGGCGATACAAGTAAACCACATAAATAGCAAAAGTTATTACGATTCGGGCACTGCATCCCCTTTACTTCTTTTTTAATTTGTACTTTGCTTCATCAACCTATTTTGCTTTTGTTTTGAACCGCGATCTGACAAATTCTAAAACACAGTGAGACATAATTAAAACATATGCGCATATGATTATGACCGCGATCCGATTCGCGCGAAACGCTTAAAAATCATTTCATCCTTGTTGTTTATCAAATGTTAAATGAAGAACAAACGATGCTCATGAGCGTTGTCAGCATGAATCGAATCACGACCTATAAAGCATGAAAATATAATTGCGGCGCATGTTCGTATTGCCAGCATTTCGCGGCTGGCATTTCCTAACCTTAATAGTCATCAAATTTAACAATTAATATCTCGGTCCATGGGACAGAGAAATAAATTCACTACTTTATAAACAAAATCATTACTTTATAAACAACTTCACTACTTAAAAAATAAATTCACTACTTTATAAACAAATTAAAAAGAAAACAAATTTATTACTTTAAAAACATAAATTGTTTTCATATATTATTCTTACGTTTTGAAAGCAGTAAATTTGTTTTTAAAGTAGTGAATTTATGTTTTAGAGTAAAGAACTTGTTTTAAAGTAACGAATTTGTGATCGCAGCACATGCTTAAATCGTACTTCATGGTTGTGACAGATTTCCTAACCTCAATAGTCATTAACTTTAACGTTTAATATCTCGGTTCGCGAAGCAGACATTTTTCTTAGATTCTTTTGTTTCATGTAAAAACGCGTCAAATTTCATCAAAATCTAATTTCATCAAAATCGGAGGTAAGGGAAGCATTCTAAATTACCTATTGATTTAATTATTTCACTTACACCGTATAATCCGATCTTCTCTGAATGCAATAACGTTTCAAGATTTTAACCTCATGGAGATTGTTGTCAACTTGCCAAGACAAGAAATCTACTTTTCTCAGCAATTTCTGCTCGTGATACTTCAGTTTTCGCACCATCGTGATTGTCGATAGATTAAAAGCAACTGTTACCAACGCCGATCATAGTATAAACATGGTAGAAATGAGTATATAAGTACCATGAATATAAGTACTTATACATTACTATGATGCCGATTAACTAAAGCCCGTTCTACAATGCAACAGTAAGGGTACGGTTAACGCGATACTGCAAACGCTTTAAAGCATTTTTTAATTGGTCAGTGTGTAAAATTCTTTCTTCTAATTGATTCATTAAATGCATTCAAAGCATTTGTAGTGAGACTTTGACCACAGCCTAATGCATGGTCTACAATGGGCAATAACAGTAGTTGATTATTAAGAAGGCATAGAATCGACCAATCATAGTTGAATGTGAGAAAAATAATCAATTATGATTGGTCGATTTCTACATCTACTCCTTAATCAACTACTGTTACTGCCCATTGACTGCGTTTAGCGGACTCAATAGTTGAATAAGCGTTCGCTGTTATTGATGTACTCTTTTAGATCATCCAATCAGCATTTTAGATCTGGAAGTATACATCAATAGTAGTGAGTGTTCACCTAACTATTGAGTCCGCTGAACGCAGTCATTGTATACCATGCATTAGAGGGAGTAAAATATGGCGTGAAGATCGGAAATAAGCGAAATGGGTTATTCTCATTTCGTACGCCTTATTACTTTACTGCCAGTCAAAGCTTATTATGAGATAAGGCGCGATAAAATACAAGAACTTTTTATTTTCTATTGCTTACTATCATTGTAGAATGGATGGATTTTAAGCTAATCACACACACTTTCCGTAACAATGGCCTAATTTCCACCGAGGGTTTAGGGCTACCGCACACAAAATTCTATAACGATATGCGTAAAGTATAAACTTAAGCCGATGAGCCAATCAGGATACTGCTTTAGATTACGAAGGCGAGTTTCAGTCGGTTGAAATTCATCTTATTGCGAGATTATGGATTAAATTTATTGTTATTTCTATTTCCGTTACGTAGAGTACGTAGATCTAAAGCAGTATCTTGATTGGCTCATCGGCTTAAGTTCATATGTTAATAGTCATCTACATAAGTCGCAAACGCAGAACGCAGTTCGCAGACGCATTTGCGACAACCAATCAGAAATGCCGGTAATACTAACAACAGCTTTTGATTGGTTGTCGCAAATGTGTCTGCAAACTGCGTTCTGCGTTTGCGACTTATGTAGATGGCCCTTCATCGCGTTTTGTGTGCATAAGACCTCTTGATAATTTCTCTTTTTGTTTTCCGACGCGGAAGTATAGTATTCAGGGCATTTGATAGTATTGCTTTCCTTATTGACTTCTAGGGATTTTCCATTGCGAGTATTCGCAACTTGCCATTTACGTATACGCAACTATTTCAAGAATCAAGGGTTCAAGGGTATCAATCATAAAACTTTATCTCTAGAATTGAAAGTGAAAAGTGGAAATTTTAATCATTGAAATTAATGAAGAAATTTTTCACTTTTCACTTTTCCTAGGAAAAAATTTCATGGTTGATATTCAGGACCACAACAAGTTATATAAGGGCAAATTCCTAATATTGATGCTTTAACGGTTCAAGTTATATCTCTTCCTCTTATATATAATTGTAAATCATATTACTTATTGCCTTTGCTCAATACGAACTGTGTTCAGTTTGGACGCAAAATTAACGCCAGATCCCAAAAAAAGTGTAGAGCAACAATTGCTATTTATTGCATGCTTTATGCAACCCAGCCACAAAAATTTTGGATTGATAAGTATGCAATTTCATCCCCAACGATGTTAGAAAAATTAATTTCACCCCACGATACAAATATAGTTATATTTATATGTTAGAAAAATTAATTAATACTTATATATTAATAAATTCTTATCGAACAATTATTTATTAATAATGAATTTCTTTTCATACGTACAGAAATTCAATTTCAATAACCTTGGATTTAACGTATGCAGATGAACAGTAATGCAGCCCAATAATTCTGATTGGTTAATCCCCACTCTATTATTTTTTCTGAGATTCTGTTTTTCGAAATTCCGACTGTTATTGGATAACATTCTTACTTTTAAAAGAGAGCAACGTACTTGCATAGTTCATTTGCTCACATCACTCACATCGGTGTGGCCTTAATAATTTTTCATTGTTTCACCAATGAAATTATATTATTTTAAATTAGTCAATTAGTTAACAATTGATATACACTCCTTTTAAAAATCGTTAACTAGTAACGGTAACTTATTATACTTTTTCTATTCAGTACCGAGTAACTGTAACTTGTTATCTTTCAAAAGTAACTTTCTATTCCCTGATTTTAGTACGGCACATTCCTACTAGATAGTAGCACAGCAATATAATTTGTTCACTCTGCTCGCTGTTTTATCGACATACATTTTAATAAATTAAAGTTCCTGGTAAACTGTATGTGTTTCTATGTTTGCGGCGAATAAAAACCTTTTCAACAAGTTGTGAGGAAATAAATAATTGATTTTGTTCCCTTATGACTAATAATGTTTTACTTGTTATTTGTATTTGAATTATTCAAAGCTGTTAGACTGTTCGCCACTCTCCCCATTTAAATCGATTAAAGCATTATATAAATAATATGGCTGATAGGGATAGCTTAGAAATTGATCGAGTTTCGACAAATTTTTGAGGAGTTCGGCAAAATTTTAAAAATAAGTCGCAGGTCGCTTGACTTCAAAATATTCTTCGATCGAAAAGAAAGAAAGAGAATAGCTGCAGAGGAGTCATGTTTAGTTTACGAGGACAAGTTTTAATTAAATGTTTATCTCGTCTCACGAAATGTTCTTTTTAAACATACGACCGAACTTGAGGGAGGCTTCGACCTTACTTCTACCTCAGGAAAATTAATTCTTTTTTGCATTTTAAAAGCAAAATTGTCATAAAAGATGTATTTGCGAGAAGTTGTTCGAAATGACGTATTATACAATGTACTAAAAGTCTTGACCGCTAGCAGATTTGAAAAACGTTTTTTCAGCTTCAAAAAACTGATCAAATATAATGCAGTTTTTCAAAAATATTTCAGTATTCATTTGATCAAAATAAAGGTCATTATCAAAAAGAAAGCTGATAAAATTACGAACAATTTCGTTTTTTTTTTAAGATCGTACAATTAATATTTTCCGTGATAGAATTTTTTTAGAATGTTGTATTTTTGGTCATTTTGATAATTCTAACTTTTTTCGTATAAAATATCTCAGATTTGGCTACTTTTATATTATACAAAATAGTTCTTATGTAAATTATTAAATTTCCTACAAAATCGATTTTTATTCATCCTTATATGACCAATAACTTTTGAGAAGGGTTTATTTACGCAATTAATCTAAAAAATAAATCTAAAAAAATATTATGTTTTTGTTTATTTTTTTTTATATTACTCGCGTCTGTCAATGTATTTTAATGATATAAACAAATAAATACAAACAATAAATTATAAATTATATTCTAGATATAATAATCAAGTTTATCTAGAATTATTTAATAAAAATTTATTTTGGTTAAAATATCTCAAACTAAAACCGTAATAAAAAAATCTAATGATAATTTTGTTGTATATTCGTAGTACAAGCTCTCGATTGTGACTAGTCCGATTAAAATCTTAAAGACATCTGTATTACCAATTAAATCGTAATTTTTGTATAACAATAATTTTTATCTTCTTTTATAGATTTGAAAATCTTTTTCCATGATTAAAGTATACATTAATATGTGTCTGTAAAATGGAGTTTATGCCGAGAGTGACAACAAATTTCGAAATTGAAATTTTAAAAAAAATTTCGAAATTGAAATCTTAAAAAAAATTTTTAGGTTTACGGCACAAACTCCACCTCACAGTCTTGTGAAATATAAAAAAATAATAAGTAAACTTCTAATTAGAGTAAGGAATAAAATAATT